ATTCATTATTATTGTATAATAAAGTAATATTACTATGTTGTCCCTTCAACAAATGTAAACAAAATAAAAAAAACCAAAAGAATTAATATTACTGTGAGTGACAGTAATATTACTATAGCAACAGTAATATTACAATAGTAGACAGTAATATTATTACGTTACTTCGTGAATAACTCGAACAAAACAAACACCCCAAAAAAATAATAATATTGATGTTGTTGACAGTAATATTATTGTGTTTACAGTTATTTTACTGTCAACGACAGTAATATAATTACGTTGACTTGTCAACAAATCAAAAAAAATAAAAAAAAATAATAATAAATAAAAAAATATAATATTGCATTAATTTACTGTCAACGGCAGCACAATTACATAAATGTAATGTCAACGGCAGTACAATTACGTTAATTAACTATCATTGACAGTATAATTACGCTAAATTACTGTCAGTGACAGCACAATTACGGTCAACGTGTAGCGGCGGGCGTGGAAAAACAAAACAAACCAAACAAAAAAAAAAAAACTTAAAAAAACACTAAAGAAAGAGACCGCCGGAAACCGGCGAAAAAATCCGGAAGAAAAGAAAAGAAAAAAAAAAGAAAAAAGAAAAAAAAAAAAAAAAAGTCAACGCCGGAATCCGGAAAAAAAATCCGGAAAAAAAAAAAAAAAAAAGTTTAAAAAGTCAACGCCGGAGACCGGCGTTGACCGCCGGTCAACGCCGGAATCCGGCGGCAAAAAAAAGTTTTTGAAAAAAAAAAATTTTTTGAAAAAAAAAAAAATTTTGGGTCAAAATTTAATAATTTGTGAAATTTGGGGTCAAATTGAGATTAAATTAAGTTAAGGATGAAATTGGAGCATATTAAATTATACTCCAAAAAAAAGTCAAAATTGAATTTTTGTGGTCAAAATTGAACTTTTATGGACAAAATTGATTAATTTGGATTACAATTAAGAATTGGGTATAAATGATTGAGGGTAATATTGGGATATACATGAATGTTTCCTTTAGTTATAATAAATATTAAAGGGATGGGCTTATTGGTGAAAGAGATATGTCCCCTATACCTAGAATAATAAACATGCTTGGTTGGGGACTTTTGCATAAAAATCCCTAAAATAAAAATAAAAATATATAAATATCCAATAATTAAATTATTAATAGTGAAAATAATGATAAAAATAATAAGGATAATATATAGATTCTGACATTCTGTCAAACATGTGAAGGTAAGGGACAATGGATGCGTCAATGGGACATCCCTCAAACCCAAATATACTATCCGTTATTTATTTATTTATTTATTTATTTATTTTATTAATTCCCACTCCAAAATTATTAACAAACTCTCTCTCCTCTCTCTCTCTCTACTTTCTCTCTCTAAGTTCTTCTTCTTCTTCGGCGAAGACAATCACTTGTTGACAAACAGAAGCTCTGCTTTCACACTTCAGGTAGGTTTATACACACAGATACCCCATACCTTCCAATGTGTGTGTGTGCGTTTTTGTTTCCTTCTGTGTGTTTTCTTCCTGCTTTGTTCATCGCAAAACTTTGATTTCTCGCTTTATGCAGCAATTATTTTCTCAATTTTATATTCTCATCATAAATTATAATTTTTTTTTTCTAGGGAATGCAGGTTTGCTCATCGTCATTGTAGAAGATCAATAATTTTGGAATTTTCTTTCTCGGAGCAAAACCTAATTGAAAAATCCAAAATCATTGATTTCTGCTACTTAATTCCCAGCAAAATCAAAACCCCTGCCTTAGTTCTTATTTTTTGTCGCCACCTGTTTGTTTATTTTCCCCACTGAAAAATATTTTTCTCATACATACAAAGCTGAAAAAAAATGCACTTCACTGATTATTCACATTTGCTCTTGATTGGGGTTACATTGCTACTGTCAATAAATTTTACCAATGCTGATTTGGTAACTTGCTCGGGGATTGTTCCGATGAATTACCGGAACGATAAAATATCGATAACGGATTTCGGAGGTGTGGGTGATGGTGTGACTTTGAACACAAAAGCATTTAGAGAAGCGATTTACAGAATCGAGCATTTGAGAAGGCGAGGTGGGACCCTCCTCTACATTCCTCCCGGAGAATATTTAACCGGACCCTTTAATCTAACCAGCCGAATGACTCTTTACTTGGCCAAAGGAGCTGTTATCAAAGCCACAACGGTATCGAAAAATTCCTCCCTACATTAATTATCTCTGTTTTTTTCATTATGCTTTACGATAATGGCTAAATGTTCGATTATTTGATAACATTGGATTTGGGTTTTTAGTGTAAGAACTAAGAAGTTCCAATTGTACATGAAAGTATATGACATGTCTTGAATTTGAACGGGGTCCCACATGGAACGGTGATTGCTATACTAATTTGTTCATTGGGGTGCGTATGTAGTAATCTTGAAACTGCAAGAGAGGATATTAAATTTGGAAATTCGACAAAAAACGAGGGGCGGAGTAAGAGCGCTTGTGGGCCGTGGATTTAGTTGGCGAACTTTATTGCATGTGAAATACGATCTGCCAGCTATTTGTAATGGACAATAGCTCAAAGACATTAAAGATGGTCATTGATTTCTAACATGTAGACACATACGTAGTTGCGAAAACGTCGTTGATGAATTGCTGTTGTGACGAATCATAAGAACTAATCGAGCACTAGAAAATATATTCAATCTTGCCATAGTTAGTTTCAATCATTTTGCATGGACAAAATTTACATTCTTCACAAGTTGCAACATATATAAAAAAAAATCCTTTTATTTTGTAGTTAATTCTTGCTATAATATTTACACAATATATCTGGTTATGTTTTAGGATATTGCGCAATGGCCCTTAATAGCGCCACTGCCCTCGTATGGGAGAGGAAGAGAACTACCTGGAGGAAGGTATATGAGTTTTCCTCCATGGCGACGGCCTACACGATGTCATAATTACAGGTAAACATATTAATTAGGCAACATTTGTTAATTCAAAATATTCGAAGGCAATCTTTTTGGACAATTTTTCTGCATATAAAAATGGTACAAACGATAGACTTGATTATCTATTAGAACCCAATACTAGTGACGGAAAGTACATCGACATTTATTTTTTCTTTTAGAAGAAGTGTTTGCTGCTCCATTTTGTTCATTAATCCCTATTCGATTTGTGTAGGTGAAAATGGCACGATTGATGGTCAAGGTGGCGTGTGGTGGAACATGTGGAGGCAAAGAACTCTTCAGTTTACGAGACCAAACCTTATCGAACTAATGAATTCTAGAGGCATAATCATCTCCAATGTAATTTTCAAGAACTCGCCCTTTTGGAACATACACCCTGTCTATTGCAGGTAATACAGTTTTTTTTCGTTTTTTCTTGATATAAATCACGTGATAATAAATGCTTATTATTCATTTCAACTGAATGTTTTTCTTATATTGCCAGCAACGTTGTGATTCACTATGTCACCATACTCGCCCCTGCTGACTCTCCCAACACCGACGGGATTGATCCAGGTTCGCAATTAAACCTTATTAATTAATTAAATTTCCAAATTTTTTCTTTTTCGGAAATGAAAAACTAATTTCAATTCCGTTCCAAAAATTTCGAAAAAAAAAAACTGGAATTTGGATTCTGAATGAAAATATTGTTTCAAAATTGTAATTTTCGGATCTGAATGGTCGGGGTTCGGATTTTCAAATTTTTAGTCACCTACAATATGAAACACATAATAATATTAATATTATTAGAGCAATTTTCAGGAAAAGAAAATACATTTTTTTTGGAAAATTAATATCGGATAGAAAATCGGAATCTAACATGTATTTCAGTTCTGATTTAAAAAAATCGGGGAAATCGGAACTTTCAAAATTCGGGAATATTGTTCCTAAACCGGACATATTCGGATCAGAATCAGCAAAATTCAAAAGCTTATTTCCAATTTCCACCCCTAATTCTGATTATTTCCCGATACAGACTCGAGCTCCCACGTATGCATCGAGGACTCCTACATATCAACAGGAGACGACCTAGTAGCCATAAAAAGCGGCTGGGACGAATACGGAATTTCATACGGCCGCCCAAGCCACGGCATCACCGTCCGACGAGTCACCGGATCTTCTCCGTTTGCCGGAATCGCCATCGGAAGCGAAACCTCCGGTGGGGTGGAGGATGTCTTGGTGGAGCACATAAGTCTATACAACATGGGAGTGGGTATCCATTTGAAGACCAATATAGGGAGAGGCGGCATTATAAGAAACATTACGATGTCAAATATTTATATTGAAAATGCGAGAAAAGGGATCAAGATTTCGGGTGACGTTGGAGATCACCCGGACGAGTATTACAACCCGAATGCTTTACCCGTTGTTAAGGATGTTGTGATCAAGAATGTTTGGGGCCAACGGGTGGAGCAACCCGGTTTGATCCGCGGGTTGAAGAATGCGCCGTTTAGAGGGATTTGTTTGTCGAATATCCATCTCGGCGGTGCGGGTGGGCCTCGCGATTTGCCGTGGCAGTGCTCGCATGTTAGTGGTGGTGCGGTGCAGGTTAGCCCGTGGCCTTGTTCAGAACTCACTAGTGGCCAGAAAATCGGTTCTTGCTCATCTTCCTTTTAAATAATTTGTGAATGTTTTTCCTTTTTTTTTTTATAAATGTTTATGACAGTAATTTATATGTAATAAGACATTAAGTGTGCTATTAGAAAATATAATTATTCATCATCATCATCGTAAAACATAATTCAAAACGGATTCAAGTAATTTACAGACCAACAAAAGAGGGGGAAATTTCAGAAACTCAACTGTATAGATAGATACACACACACACACGCTACTATGTGTTGATGAACACTGCTGCAAATGTTGGATCTAAGAAACTGGTAAACCTTATTTTAGCTCGCGTAAATATATTATATATAGCAGCATCACTTAATTACATAATCATAATTATATATGTAGTTTATCGACCTAATTAAATCATCAGAGACGAAATAATTAGAAATAATGGTCGAGAAACTTACGCACGCGCTTCATGAAACCAGATTCCTTCTTTTCCGGATCGGCATCTCTATTCTGATGCTCGAAATGATTCTTCCATTTGTTCAAAACTTTCATTTTTTTGTTGATTCTCTCACCGTGGTCGTCTTCGTCGTCGCTGTCACTGTCACTGTCCTCGTGGTGGTGGTGGTGGTGGTGGTGCATCGAATTCAGCGGAAACCGCCGATCGTCGGAGTTAAGTTGAAGGTTGTCAACGAAGTCGCTGTTCTCGCCGGAGGAAACGAGCATGTCGTCGCCGTAGGGGATCTGCTCCTCGTTTTCCCTCCTCATCAGGGCGTGGTAAACCCTAGAGTGGCGGCGGCCGCGGCAGGGGTGCTTGGATCTGACGTCGAAGCGGCGGTTGACCGGACGGAGAGTGACCATTCTGGTCAACGGCGGGAGGTTTACGACGGCAGAGTCGCGCTCGGCTTCGGTGAGTGGGAGGGACACCTGGGCGGTGGATTCATCGTTCTCCGGCGGCAGATCGGCGGCGATTGAGAGGGTGATTAAGCAGAAGAGTGCGATTAGGGCGGCGCAGATCTTTTTCGCCATTGGTGGAAGTTAGATTGAAATGGAGAATTTTTTTGATATAAAAGGCGGGATCCGGGCAGTTCGGGCAGGTTGGAATAGGGAGTGGGACTGATGTGATGACCGTCCACGTGTCACTGAAGTGCACAAATTTAATGGTGGATCTGAGTTCGGCGTGCGTAAGATGTTACGTCATCCAAATCTTTATCCGATTGTATGTTGACTTTTGATCTGCCTAAACTTTATTTATTATTTATTTATCATAAATTAGTCATAAATTCTTTTAATACCATACTATGTAGGTAATAGTAACTCAAAAGTCGAACAAGAACGGTCCTAATTCGTGGAGGAGACGAGCGTCTATAAGATGTTATACTCGGTGTAATACATCGGTTGGTTTTAAACGATAAATCAATAATAACTCACTAAGTGCACACACACACATACTGATGTGTAGATTTATAGTTGAAGACCACCGGTGTATTTCTTGAGTGCATATCCAAAAGACTTGATTTCAATTTCCCATGAAATAAGTTAATAACAATGAAGATATATTTGTAATTACACAAACTTCATGGGAGTGTTTATAATTTTTAAAGTTAGCTAGATTAATTTGTAATTAGATTAAATTTTGTAACATGAATACAAGGTCTAATAAAGTATTTGTAGTACTGCATTTTAATAGGCTTAATTAATTTTCTTTGTTTGGGTCCATTTATGTAGGCTTTCACACTTCTCCATGATTGGGTTGGGCCAACTTTTCTGTTCACTTGGGCCATTTTAATGTTGCTTTTAGCCCAAAATATTTATACAGTGGTTATATTATGATCAAATCAAATCCAATTACAGGATATTTTTTTTTAATATTTTTAAATAATTGAGTGTTACTTTTAGTTTTCAGAATAAATAATACGTTTCCAGAAAATTTTCATCTCCCAGTATGTAAAATTTGTCAACCAAAATGAACAATGGACTGCTTATGTATCTTAGAACATTTACTGGGTTCTAACCTAAGATTTTCAATAGTTATGGACCATTCTGCAATTTCGAATTGTATCCTTTCCGCTGCAATCTTAATAAATATTAGGGTAAATTACAAACACCCCCCTGAGGTATGACCAAATTACAAAAACACCGCTCTTGTTTGGATAATTACAACCACCCCCCTCAACTCATCAAATTTAGTGGAATCTTCGAGATTATATGGAATATTATCACTTTTGTACCCGTTTTATCCCATTCAAACTCTACATTATGAAGCAAGATGACCATAATATGTTATTTTTAGCTTGTATATATCAGTTTGTGGTGCATCGAAAACTGTATTTTTTACACAAAGAGTACAAACTAGAGCACATTTCACGGAATCTAGATGACTATGTTGAATTTGGCACCATAAAGGTAAGAAAAAATCATAGTTGAGGGGGGTAGATGTAATTATCCAAACAAGAGGGTTTTTTTTGTAATTTAACCATATCTCAGGGGGGTGTTTGTAATTTACCCTAAATATTCTGTCAGCAGTCAGCACACTGCCGTGGATATGTGTTGATGAGTGTGTAGATTCAATCACTTCTCTTGCTTTGTATCTATCGTCCAATTATTTATTTAATTTGTATAGCTATCATATATTAAAGAATAAATTACCAAAAACCCCTTGAACTTAGGGGTTAAATTACAAAAAATACTCTCATCTATTCTCAATTATCAAAATTTCTCTCACGTTTGAAACAGACTGATTATTCTATTTGGAAGTGGAAATGATACGAGTACATTTTATGGGATCAAAATTCAAATTAAGTACACTTCTCTGATTAAAAAAAAGAAACATGTAGGAACCAACCAACTAATCTAGAAGAATTTAATTCCAGCATATCGACATTATTAATTATAACAATATAATCTTGTAAAAATCACCATCCTTTGGACATAATCGGTGAATTTTAGCTTGTGTTTGGTTAAGTTTATAAATTGTTAAAAAATAATTATAAGATATTTAAGAGGTTATAAGTTCTTTTAATGTATTTGGTTTTTTTTTTTAAATATCTTTAAAATTCAAAAAATAAGCAGCTAAAGAACAAATAAGATCATTTTAAAAAACTACAGTTATGCCATCTATTTATTTCAGATCTTATAATGAATAAAAACAGTTTGTAATATTATCATCCAACCATTCTAAAAATCTTATATATAAAAGAAAGAAACGCTCGACAACCCTAAAAAACCTTGGTAATTCTGTAATTATTTATTTTTAATATTTTTTCTGTACTAATTATCAACAATTATCAATCTCCTATTTTTTATCAATATATCTCAAATCTTAATAGATAAAGCTAAAAATTCGATTTGTTAAATCTAAACCTATATTTGGATTATAAATCTTAATATGTAAAATTTCAAAAAACTAATGTTATATAAAATATGAATAATACTACATGATTAAATTTTACTATGTTAATGTAATATATTTTCTTATTATGTATTAAATTGATTTTTTTTCACTTTTGAAATAATATCCCGTGCATCGCACGGGGAAAAAATGCTAGTTAATTATAATAACAAATATAACAGCTTATCAATTCTTAAAACAGCTTATCGAACTTAAGAACTAATCAACTCTTTAAAATAAGATTAGCCTACATCAAAAGACAAGAATAGGTAAACCCTCTCGTTAATTCATATGCACTTGAAAAAGTAGGGTGATTTCCCACAAATTTTCATCCATTCACAACTAAATATCAATTAAACTAATATATATATCCCAAACAAACCTTTCGCCGGTAATTAACATAGTACTTACCGAGCCAATTACAATCACCCAAGAAATCAATTAAATAGGCAACTCCCCCTTTGCTTGTTTTCCCCATGCCCACATCACAAGAAAAAGGAGAGAGAAAAAATAACCCTAGCTAGTACGAGGATTTATTACTATTACTATTACTATTTTTATTACTATTGTTACAGGAACAAGAAAATAAGATGTTGTCAAGAGCTTTCGTAAAGCCGAAGAGAAGCCCACAAGCCGGCGAATCCATGCTCCCGTCACCGGCTTCAATCTTCGAGTACGAAGATTTCATTTTCGGACTCTTGGATGATATTCCATTAATCTCCTTCAATGATAATAAAAATAGTAATTATTACAATAATAATAGTAATTCGGAGTTGGCGCAAATGACGTTGAGGCAGGTTCTGAGGGCGTCGGTAGGGGTGATCGGGGAAAGCCCGTTAGGGATGACCGAGAAAATGGTGCTCTTAGGGGGTAAAATATGCGCGGTGAAAAGGTTTCGAAGAGTCGCGGTTAGGAAACGCGAGTTTGGGAGGAGGATTGAGCGCGTGGCCCACGTGGGGAACCAGTGCGAGTATTTGGTGCATGTTTTAGCTTATCTATATGCGAAGAGGATCAAGTTTGTGGTGTGTGATTATTATCCCATGGGCAGCCTCGCTGATTTGCTTTCCGGTAATTCTTTCTTTGTCGCATCTCGTGTTTTTTAATAGACTATTATTATTTTAGAAACTCTTACTATAATTTATTTAGAAAATTTGCTTCACAAAATTATTTTGTTATGAAGCATATCATTTAAGGAGGACTTTAAATTGGAATTGGATTTTTGAATTATGTCGATTCTGATTCTGATTCTGATAAGAAAGTTTTACCTTTTAGAACAATAATTTTCATTCCGAGTCGTTTTTAGATTTTTCTATTTTTTTTTTGTATTGGAAGAATTGGAATATGAGATTCCAATTTTTTTAATACGATATTAATTTTTGACTCTTTTTTGATTTTTTTAAGTAGAGGGGAAATTGGAATGAGATTTTTGAATTTTGACGACTACGATCCGAAAATTTCGGCTTTCAGAACAATATTTTCCATTTCGAATCCCGAAAGTTCCATTTTCGATTTTTGTTACTTTATTTTTTAAATTAGAATTGGGATGCATATTAGATTCCAATTTTCAATCATAATTTAATTTTCGAAAATGTTTATTCATTTTCGAAAGTTAAACGAGAAAATTTCCATTTTTTTTTTATTTTTTTAAAGTGGAACTGGAATTATATTTTCACTTTTCGATCCGATCCGTCCGATTAAATTAGGTGCAAGGGAACAAGGCCACACGGCATTGGAATGGAAGCATCGATTCAAAATCATCCAAAGCATAGCAAAAGCAATTTCATTCATCCATTCACAAAACCCTCCGAGCGACAAAAACCTTCAATTAAACGTCCACGGCAATATCAAGTCCTCAAACGTCATGGTCAACATCGACTTCACCGCCCGTCTCTCCGATTACGGCTTCGTCCAGCTGGCGGATCATTTGTCTTCGGCTCCGGCCGACGACGACACCGGACAACAAGCCGAGCCGCCAATCCCACCACCACCACAACCGGAGCAAGTGTTGGAGACGACGTTATCGCGGGAAAGTGATATATACAACTTTGGCGTTGTTTTGATCGAAATTCTAGGGTGCCCTAATACTAACGTCGTTGAATCGAAAAAAGTTAGAAAAATTGATGATCGTTTGTTCGAGTTTTGTAGGGGAAGATCAGAGGAGAAGCAAGCGTCTAGGGTTTTAGACATTGCTTTGAGCTGTATAAATAGTTTGTCTGATGCAAGACCTAATATACAACAAATACTCTCTTGTCTAGGAGATATATAGCACAAATGAAATTAATTGTGATACTTTTCAAGTAATTTAACATGGTATCAGACCTATATCGGTTTTTTGGGAAATTTCTCTATCTTTCGCTCGGTTCTACTGAAAACATCGTAAATCGACGTTCTTTTTGGTTTGTGATTGCAATCTTGTCTTAGGTGTTTCTTCTTACTCTTTGCGCTCCCACCACAAAGGAAAACATCATAAACTATTGCTCGTATTTTTCTTTACAGTCTTATTTTTTGGTGTTTCTCCATCTTTCGCTCAGCTCCACCGAGATGAAGAACACCATAAATCAGTACTATTTTTTCTAGACCAGACTTATTTTTTTGTGTTTCTTCTTTTTTATTGCGCTTAGATCGATCACTAAGAAAAATACCACAAAAAATCAATGTTGTCCTACATTAGCCGCCGTGCAGGACGTTCCGAACATCATTACATAACAAGAATTTTTTTCTCGAAATAAAAATAAATAAAATATAAATAATTATGAATAATTTTGCTATTATAATTCTAGTCTTTAGATTTTTTTCCGTTCCTATTCTACTTTCTCAAAAAAAAAAAAACAAGGGCATTACCCAATGTGAAAAATTTCTTCATTCTTGATAGTTATTTAGTTAATCGGTGGATAGGAACATACTCTAGATCGAAATCGTGAGGAGTACTTCTTAAATCATTTCTACCAACTCAATTAAAATTATTATTCTATAAAGAAATATCATTTTGAATAATTTACAGAATCTCCGTTTCTAATCCTCTGATAAAGGTACCATCAAGATCGTACAATTTACGACTACATAATGTGAATTTATTGGATTTCTGCATAGGACTATATAAATAACTAAATGTTTAATAGTTTATAATATAAAAAAGTTATAAAATAAGTTGGGTCTATTAATACAATGAAGCCTTCAAGAGAGGAATTTGATTTGGGCTGTAATGTAAAGCCCATTCCTTATTGGCCTGCATGCTTAAACTAATTATAATTAATAAATGATCTTTCTCTAATCATTTTTGGATTAGAAGAAATTAAGTACTTTTTAGTATTGCGGGAGAGATTCCGATTCATGTCGACACCACACGTGTGGGCGACTACAAAAAATAAAATAAGGTACAACATCAGTTCAAAACAAACAGCTTGTACCAAGCAATAATTGACTGACATCTGTCAGTCTATACACGTGTGATTTATTTATGTACGGGGGATTCTTCCCTCTCCCAATTGGATGTGACGTCATTTGTCGAGTAGCGTTAATCATGCTGAACAAGCATCTCAGGCAAAATTAAGTACGTCATTAATTAAGATAATTCAACCTTAGTAGCTAATTTAATTAAACCCAAAATATAATTTTAATTAAATTAAAGCATCTAATCATAGAGCAAAGGGAAGTCAAAATCTGGAAATATGTGGAAAATAAATTATTGATTGTTGTGAAGGGGCGGTATATATGAGTGGTATGGTGTAGGCATGTAGCTGGGATCTTTGATTGGTTTAAATATTGGCTAAATAGCACTTAACCCCCTTGTGGTTTGGACATTTTGCACATGACCCCCTTATGGTATGAAATTAGGCACATAACCCCCTTGTGGTTTTGAAATTTTGCACATGACCCCCTTATAGTATGAAATAGCACATAACCCCCTTCAATAGAAAACTGGAAAAGACTAAATTGCCCCTATCAAGTCACAAGTTTTTGTTTTAATTTAAAAATAATTAATTCTATAAAATGAAAATCTTAATGTACTTTTTTGTTATAAAATGAGAAATATAATATATTATTGTGTTTTTTTTTCTGTTTTACGCACATATATATTTTTTTTTAAATTTAATTTTTTTTTTCAACCTTAAAGAAATGTTTTTTTTAGATTTTTCCAAAAGAATAAAAAAAAATTTGTTTCTTAAAAAAATTAAAGTTCGATAACAACTATAATATAATATATTTATATAGAAAATAGTAATATAATAATCACAATTAATGATAATGTTAAAGATTTTCAAATTAATTTTTAAAATCGAATAAATTATCAATTGTACAATAATTAGTATTTTATACCTTTTGTGCTGTAAAATTAAAAAAAACACAATAATATATTATATTTCTCATTTTACAAAAAAATACATTAAGCTTTTCATTTTATAGAATAACTTAAATTGAAACAAGAATTTTTGACTTGATAGGGTTAATTTAGTCTTTTTCAGTTTTCTATTCAAGGGGGTTATGTGCTAATTTTATACCATAAGGGGGTTATGTGCAAAATTTCAAAACCACAAGGGGGTTATGTGCCTGATTTCATACCATAAGGGGGTCATGTGCAAAATATCAAAACCACAAGGGGGTTATGTGCCTAAATTCATACCATAAGGGGGTCATGTGCAAAATGTTCAAACCACAAGGGGTTAAGTGCTATTTACCCTTAAATATTTATATATATGTTGACTCTATCAACTTCACCAAAAGAAATAATTTTTTGACCGACCAAATATATTTTTTTTCTTTTGCTTGTAATTTTTTATTTTATTTTATTTATTATTATCCTAATTATTCAAAAAAGGGTTTTGCACGATGTACACTAATACCGCTTCTTAATCGTGACACCGGTTTGATTAAGGTGATGTTTGCAAAAGGTTTTTAGAAACATTTTATAAGCTTTTTCTTTTTTTTTCTTTATCACAATCTGTATTTAGGTGTTAACAAAATCAACTTTTGCTATTACTTATCTTAGAATAAATTGATTTAAGCCGTATTTTAAAAACATCACCAGATCTGTCTTTTCTATTGAAGTTTAATATTTTCAAATTATTTGCAAATGCCAACAATTTTTAATAATAAACTGTTGTGGTTGTGGCCCAAATGTGTCTTGGGCCTATAGCCCAAATTCCCACTACACACACACTTGTCTATTCGGAAAGGCCCAACCAGAATAATTCCAGCCCATTAGTGGGAATGTGCTAGAAGGCTTAAATCTGAACCGTTGGTTCTGGTGTGATCTCAGCCGTTCATTATAGCTGACCTTTCCTCTCCCTTGTACCCCCTTTCCCGTTTTGTGCCCTAGACAATCTCTGTTCTCCCCTTTGGTCCCCCTCTGCTTCTTTCTTCTTTTGCTCCAGCAACCATGGGCCATTCGCCGCCGTCCTTGGCCGTGCTTGTCCCAGTGGTTGTCTCTTCAACGGCTCCTTTTGACTGGAGTCCCTATTTAATGCGGAGAGATGTGTGGCAGAGGGTAAGACCTAGATTGAAACCCTAAATTCAAACACCTTGCCTTCTTCTTCTGTGAGTTGGGTCTGTGGTGAGTGGGTAAGAAGCTGAGTGCATCTTCTTCGTGGTCTTACTTATAATCTGGGTGGTTTAAGGGGTTTGAGTGCAGAGAGAGGATTGGTTCTGAGTATGGTGCAATCCTAGACTGTGTGTGTGTGTGTGTAACAGTGGATACCTTTGTGGATCTGTGTGTGTGAATCGGTTTGGAAGACTGAGCTGTCTTCAATCTCACACTTCTGTTTTTCCATACATTTATATTTATTTATCTTGTGATGTTATTTTACCAACATCTATTTTGAGTTTTTCATTTGTAAGCTTCCTTCGGGTAGAAACCCTATAGTGGTATCAAGAGCTTGGTTGCTCGAAGATCTGCTTGAAGAAGGCTTACAGAACCTAACTGGGTTCTGATAAGGTAAGTCACTCTGAAACCCTAGTTTTTTCGTTTCCTGGTTTATTCCTGTGGAGGTTGGGAGCCCTGTGTGGCATTGAGTTGGCCCTGTGTGGCGTGGAGGCCCTGTGTGGCACTACTTGGCCCTGTGTGGCAGATGTGCTCATACTTGATTTATTTTCCAGCTCTCTATGTGGTTTATTTTTCCGCAATTATTCCTACTGTTAGTGTAGCTTAGGATTGCTCTCAGCAAACCCTTTCTTGTCCGGACCACCTAGTGTCGCAGGAATCTGGAAAGGGGGGGGCAATCTGATTATCTATTGTGTTACTCTGTAATTCTGTGTGATTCTGTGTGATTTCTGTGTGATTCTGTGTGATTTCTTGTGATTCTGTGCCTTTCATCTGTGTGAATCATGAATGCATATCCTGTTGCTCCTTTTGATGGGAAAGGTGACTTCTCTATATGGCAACAGAAAATGAAAGGTGTTTTAGTTCAGCAAAAATGTTTTAAAGCTATTACTCTAAACTATGAAGATACCACACCTGCTGCTAAGAAAGCTGAATTTGATGAACTTGCTTACTCCTTGATGATCTTGAATTTGAGTGATTCTGTGATTAGAAAATTAGGAAAGCAAGATGATGCTAAAGCTTTATGGGAAAAACTGCAAGATCTGTACACTGAAACCTCTTTGCCCTCAAAAATGTTTTTACTTGAAAAGTTTTTCAGATTTAAACTGGATTTGAGTAAAGATATAGATGAGAATCTGGATATTTTTACAAAACTAGTTCAGGACATTAAATTAACTGGAGATAAAAACATTGATGATTATACTCCTATTGTGCTTTTAAATGCAATTCCTGACACTTATAGTGATGTAAAATCTGCTATTAAGTATGGTAGAGATCAGGTTACTCTTGACACTGTCATAAATGGTTTGAAAAGCAAAGAACTGGATTTAAGAACCAATAAGGGTCACAAATCTTTTGGTGATGTTAACTTTGTGAAAGGAAAGCCTAAATTCAAGTTTCAACACAAGGCCTCTTCCAGTAATAACAACCAAAATCAGTCTTTTCAAAAACCTAAAAAGGGCAAAGAGTGGAGTAAGAACAAGATCAAAGGCAGAAAATGTTATAACTGTGGTAAACCTGGTCATTATGCAAATGAATGTACTGAACCTAAAAAGGATAAGAATAATGAACAGGCTAATGTTGTTGTTGACAATCTGGGTGATGTTTTCATGATTGGTGAGTCTGTGCATGACTGTGTGAACTCTGTGATTTCATCTCTATGTGATAATGATTGGATCTTTGATTCTGCATGCACACACCACATGACACCTAATAGACACCTATTTACA